AATGACACGATAGCTCACTTGCTCTGCTCTTTCCTCAAACACTTTGAATAGGAACATGACGTAATTTTGGTCTAGAATCGAAGTACTACATGTCTGCCATCTAGTGGTAGGGAATACAAATGATATATTACACCATATTAGGAACTACAGTCTATTTGATTAAGTATGACGTCTTGTCGCAATTTTGCGACTTTGGCGCTTAGAGGGTTAAAGCATGTCAACATATTCTGTTACACCAAATACACAAAATAATGATCCTTAAAATAGCATCATATGACCCCTTTAAGCACCAAATCAGCATATTAGAATGATTTCTAAAGACTGGAGTATTACAGAAAATTCAGCTTTACCATCACAGGAATAAATAATGTTTTAAACTAGATTAAAATATAAAAATTATTTAAAATTGTAGTAATAGTTCACAATACACTTTGTACTGTATTTTGGTCAAATAAATGCAGCCTTGGTGAGCACAAGACTTCTTTCAAAAACAAAAAAAAATCTTACTGACCTCAAACTTTTTGGCGGTAATATAGCCTACATTAACATATGTTCAAACCAATGTTTTGGATAAAATGTTTCTTATATTCGAATGCTGATTGTTATATGAAATCTTTGTGTTTTTCAGTTGCTTGGTAACATGGCATTATGGGATGGTTTGATTCCTGAACATATTCTTAAACAGCTGATGTTGGAGAAACTTCTCGGCCGTTACTTGATGATAACTGTGCTTAACGAATCTGATCCAAAACACACCATCCAGAAATGCAAAAAGGTGCCTGTGTTTACAATGTCAATTTAATCTCATGGTTACTGCTAAGGTAGTTCATCAAAAAACTAACTTCTATCCTTCTAAAAAGATTGCAGATTGTTTTCCAAAATCATGGTTTATTGATCTGAATACTGGATCGTCACTACCTCAGCTGCAGAACTTCAGCAAACACCTTCTTCAGATCGCTCATGCCATATTTAAGGACAACAATGACTCCAGCAGCACTCGGTAATGCACAGCGGTGAACCTCAGACAAATGTGTAGTCATACGGTTTCAGAATAATATGGCATTTGTAAGAAAAGGAGTCAAATTATTTATTTTGTATAATAGTTCTAATGCTGTTATTTTTTCCAGGAAACTTCTATCTGATGTGCTGTTTGTTTTGAAGAACATAAAGGCACATGACAGTATTAGGACTATAACAGAAAAATGTCAATGTGAGGATCTGTTAAAAGCTCTCCAGTAGCAGCCATGTTGTGTCGACAGCATGTTTTTGTATGTTTTTAAGGTTCCAAGTCACTTTGATATATGTATGTATAGTGAATAAAATTTTATTTTGGTCCACATGGTTTTCATTTTCCTTTACCTTGGTCAGAACTGTCATTTATTCCTGTAAGAAAAAATGAAGGCATGTTTTTGTATGTTTTTAAGGTTCCAAGTCACTTTGATATATGTATGTATAGTGAATACAATTTTATTTTGGCCCACATGGTTTTCATTTTCCTTTACCTTGGTCAGAACTGTCATTTATTCCTGTAAGAAAAAATGAAATATTTTACTATTCCACAATGTAGTCATTTTTATGGAAGGATATATGGTTCTCATCGTACCTGTTTATGCATGCTACATATATTAAGGTCTGATGTCTCTGGAACATACAATATATCCCAAAAGAGCTGTTTCCCAGACTTGGAATAATTCTTGTCTTGGATCAGATATTGCTGGCTTAGTCCAAGATGTACCATTCAGAGTCACCATGAACGGGTGAATTAGCTTCCATGAATCTGATTCTTTTTAGAAGCATTCCTGTTGTGAAGTAACTCTGCCTTCCAAGAAAATACTCTCGGAGATGTTTGGAACTGAGAAGCTATCCAGCCATCAGCATAACTGATGTTTCTCTAGCAAACTTGTTACAATAATTTTGCTGTTTTTTTTTTCTTTCACTGCGTCATCTGCATCTGTACCGAGATCCACTGATTCAGTGATGTAATTAGTGGTTTCTAATTACAGCTTCCTTAGCTTTCTAGGAAGCAGCAATATTACTATCTCTAGTACTTGTATACTAGCAGCTTACATTTAAGTAACATTCTAACAGCAATAATAGCTACATAACTGCATTAATACCTCAAATTGGCTTTGAGATGGCCTGTCTTCTGCCAATGACATATACAACCTAGCAACCACGTGGCATGCTAAAAAAAAAACACTCAAAACACCTTAGCAACCAGATAGCAAAACACTGGCATTGATGCAATGAGATTTGCATGGGCAAGCATCGGGCATCCGGAAAATATACAAGTCTGGTTATATTTTATTGGTCTTTTTATTTCTCAGTAGAGACTCAATAAATAGGTTAATTGTTTAGTTGTGGCTTGTTTTCCTCCTGTGCATGTTTCGCTTTATGAGGATGACATCATTACCGCTAAATCAAACAATCGCATTTTACTGAGTGGATCCTCAGAAACAACTTGCATATCCAGAATACCTTTCTATCAGACCAATCAAACCAGACATTCACATGATAAGAATAAAGTAGCTCCTTGAATCATGTTTATGTGTGGTGATCATCAGCATTTGACAGAAATTTCAGCCTTCGAGTTGCACTATATATGTAGTCACTGACTGACCTGTGTGGACGTGAATATCACTGAGGATGGTAGATCTCTCACCTCTCAACAAGTCCTGCACTTTTTGATTCTACTATGGTGAGATATTTCGTGAAATGATTCCTTAACTGTTGTAATGCCAACCAGAAGCCTCTTGAGAAACTATTTTGCTCACTGTATGCAACAGCCCAGTGGAATTGCTCCACTCCAAAGATAAACTTGTTCATGCTGTGCAATATTTACCTTTATTTCCTTTGACTGCTGAAGTAGGGCTTTGCAATCTTAACTATTGGTTGAAAAACTAGCAGGAAAGAGCTGCTAAATGAATAAAGTAAGGCTCAAAAGTCCTCAGTGAAAACTGTATTTTACAACATTTGTAAAACATTTATTTTAAAGCATTTTACACTGATACAGGGGTTCTGTTTGTTGTCTTCTCCCATAACTTTGGCAGTTACAGTTCTGTAGTTCATCTGATGGTCTCAATATATTCTCAGATATCAAATATGCATCAAACATGCACATTTTCAAGGAACTGTAACTCCACATTTTGAATTTCCTTTTGTCATCTATATGTTATATAATTAGGAAATCTGGGGAAAACATACGTTCAAGTTTTGTTTTTTTTTTTTGGAAAGAAATTCACACTTTTATTCAGCAAGGATGCAATAAATTTATATTATGATGTTACAAAAGACTTGTATTTCAAATAAATGCCATTTCGAAACATACGTTCAAGTTTTGTTTTGTTTTTTGGAAAGAAATTCACACTTTTATTCAGCAAGGATGCAATAAATTTACATTATGATGTTACAAAAGACTTGTATTTCAAATAAATGCCATTTCGATTCATCAAAGAATCCTGAAATGTATCAGTTTTCACTCTTGTAGTAAGAAATGTTTCTTGAGCAGCAAATCAATATAATAGAATGATTTCTGAAGGATCATGTGACACTGAAGACTGGAGTAATGATGCTGACCATTTAGCTTTGCCATCACAGGAATAATTTACATGTTAAAATACATTTATATAGAAAAAAACAAATTATATTAATTATTAAATATAATATTTCACAATTTTACTGTTTTACTGTAGAGTTAATAAAATAAATGCAGCATTGGTGAACATAAGAGACTTCTTTCAAAAACATAAATCCTGTTCAGTACGAAATACAGGAAAGAAAACGGCTCATTAAGAAGGATCATTAAATCTAAAGTTTCTGTATAATAACCTAAAATGGCCCTGACTTGAACCTTCTTACCCCAAAAGGTTTAGGTTTGCAGTTCAAAAGCTCTGATCCAGGATTTGCAATGGCATGAAAGTTAGATGCCAGCTCTGGACTGTAAATGTACACTAAGTGATCAAATGGTCTAAAAACCTCATGAAAAGTAGATCTGGAGCAAAGGCTAGGATTTGGCATTTATTCTCAAACTGAATTAGGTGTTCTTATTAGGATCCAAGTACTTATTTTCTACTAGACAGGGTTTCATAAAACTACAATATTCTTTTCCTTTTGTCTTCTTTCCCTCAGGCAGAGGCATTTGATCCTTGTTGTGCCTCTCTTGATTAATTCTTGTCTTGTTGGTTACACAAAATACCTACAGAGGTTATCCCAGGGGTAGAGTTTGATGGGGATTCAAATTTTCCGGTCTTGGTCAGGAGGGGGTGGTAATCCTTCCTAATGACTTATACAGACACAGAGTTCAACTTCTGTGAAAACACAGGCTGAACATTTTAATGGGAGAATACATACATTTTTTCCTGAATACATATATTTGGCCTCATCCTGAACTTTTGTTTTCCCATCAGATTTCTCCATCTTATGAGTCACAAGGTAGAATTATATCATCAGCCCTATTTCTACCGTTACATCGTACACAACGAGAGCCTTTTGTGTCAGTCCTGAAGATGACTCGGAAAGAATCCAAAGAGCATGTTATAAGTAAACACGACATTTAAAGGGATAGTTCACTCAAAATTAAAATTCTGTCATTATTTACTCACCCTCAAGCTGTTCTAAACACATATGAGTTTCATTCTTCTGTTGAGCACAAAAGAAGATATTTTGAAGAATGTTGGTAAGCAAACAGTTGACGGTAGCCATTGACATCCATAATATTCTTTTGTGTTTAACAGAAGAAAGAAACTCAAACATGTTTGGAACAACTAACTTAGGGGTGAGTAAATGATGATGGAATTTTCATTTTTTTTTGGGTGAACTATCCCTTTAAGAGTAAAATGAATTCAAACATATATTTTAGTACACATATTTATATTTTGCATTTTTATAAAAAAAACATTTCCTATGTTCTAACGAGCATCATAACCCTTCTTTGTTTTCAATATTTCAAATGTTTAATGTTTTGTTTATTACCAGGTTTAAACTGAATCCCAGCTCTTCAATGTGACTCTTGAGCCCCACTGTACACTGAGGTAATATTTGTCTGCTAGCTTCCCAGAGTCCATATTTTTGTGTCATGCCAAAAGGATGTGATTAATTGTGTCTCCTGGTGAGGCTGTTAGACACGAGAGAGTTAAGGGCACTCGGGTCTAATGCACTCTGACTGTACTGTCAACTCTATGCGAACACACATTACCTGGAGGCAACCAGAGCAGGACTCCATATGTCAAGCAGTGTTAAAGTAACTCCAGACATAACCACATCTAGTGCTGCGGCCATGCTCTGAATCCTAATCTGTTTGTTTGTTTATTTGATTGCTTTGATATATATACATTTTGTATCACGTAAATGATGCTATATCTATCTCTTATTTATATATTCACGGATTTAAATACAACATGAAAGTGAACGTTTATGTAGGTTTATATTATATATTATATATGTTTCAATTTAATGCATACATACACATTTTAATAATTCATTCAAATCATTCATTCATTGGTCTCAAGAGCAATATGTCTCTTTATTTCTTGTGTATTTCTAAACGTGAGAGTTGTGAAGATGTTCAGCTAATATAATATCAATAAGAAAAGCATCACCAAGACATTTCATGTGAAAGCAGACATAGCCAGCAGGAAAAGTAGGAAATAGGGCATATAAATGTTTGGGTGGGCATTGTTCAGGCAGCCTGTCATGAGACCAGAATAGCTTCATCTCCAAGTACTCCGATGGCAGGTTTTTTTTTTTTTTCACAAGATGCTAATTTTTATTTTGTAATGTATTATTTATTTATTTATTATTATCATTAATACTATTGCTATTATATGAAACACTTTACAATAAGCTTTTATTAGTTAATGTTAGCTATTGCATTATTTATGTCACGAATCCTGTCCATGGACTTCCGTTCAATCACCACCAGAGGTCACCCTTCCATTACATTGACTCTCGAGTATTGTTTAACGCCTATCACTCACCTAGCGATAGCTACCCTACGGAGCCATTTCTAGTTTTCATTGTTTAGTCTTAGTCTTGCCTTGCCTGTCTTCTCGTGTTCTGATTCCTGCCTGTGTTTCTCGGATTGCCCTTTGTCTCGCCGTTCGGACTCTGTTTGCTCCTGCCTGGACTATTGCTCGTGTTATTGGATTTCCCCTCTTGTCAAGCCCTCTGGATAACGTTTGCTGTCGACTGACTCACGCCCGTTTTGGATTACTCTTCGTCTTGCCCTCATATACCTGTTTGCCATTGTCTGAACCTTGCCTGTTTTATGACCACGCCTTTAAATAAAAGCTTTGCAGATGGATCCGCACGTCT